AGCTATCTCCCCAGCCCTAAGGTTAGGCATTTTTTTTTTTTGCTGCTGTACTGGGGATTGAACTCAGGACCTTGTGCTTGCCAGGCCAGTGCTTATTCTACTGAGCTATCTCCCCAGCCCTAAGGTTAGGCATTTTTAATTGCTACATACATCATGACTAGTGTATCAGAATTGTTTATACTATTTATATCTAATATCCAAAGAAAATTTACCACTAAATTCTTACAGTAGTCTGTATGCTTATTAATTGATCCCATAGGTATAATAATAGACTAACATGATTTTAGTGTCTGTTCTTTTACTAATCAGGAACATAGCAAGTACAGAATAAACGGTACAATCACTCAACGATCATGATAGCTTTTCAGAGTTAGCTGTCATGAGCTCAGATACAAATCCCATGTCAGCCAAATTGGATCCCATTCTTCATCAATATGTACTGGTGGAGGTTGTCAGATTCCTTCTAGTCCAGATCTAAATCCAATGGCCAGTAGATGAGACAGCAGCAGAGATAGAAGAAAAACCTTTAGAAATTCTGCTGAGAAGATGCCCTCTTTCTTCATAACACTTGTGTTTCCTGTGCTGAAGTAGCTGTGCGCTTTGGATGTTTAAAAAGGACGTCCTTTGGGGGTGTATTTCTTCAAGATGCTTTCAATTTCTTTCCTTCTCTCAATATAATCCTTGAACTGAGAGCTGTTCTTTTCTCCAGTTTTTATGTGTTATGTTGTGTGTATCTGTTTTAGAAGCTCTGTTAATACCTGTGGTATCTATGAGCAAGGGGGGCTGTCACAGTGAAAACTCTTGGAACTACTCCATCCAGATTCATGCTGGGCATCTAGCAGTATTTCTTCCATGTGACCATTATAAACAGAAACTGAGGCTGCAACATTGCTCCCATTCTCATTATTACTGAAGTGCACTTCTACCCAGGAGCCCTGCAGGTTCTCCTGCTATAGTCCAGGGACCCCACTCTGTGACACTGCAGCTTAGGCCACTTGACTGTGAGCATCTGCACCAAGCCATGACACCATGACAGTGCCTTGGTGATGTTCACTCAACAGCAGACCTGCTGCTCTATGCTGAGATTGATTGATTGTATTTAAGACAGAGTATACAGAGTCTCACTATGTAGTGATTCTCCTGTTTTCAGCCTCCCAAGTTCTGGGATTATAGGCATGCACCACCACACCTAGTCTCAATTGTCTCTCAGCACACCCGGAGGGTGGGGCTGTCACGGCACAGCACTGCATGGCGTGGCATGCCAGGGGTGAACCCTGGCCGCTGTGCTCTGCCTAAGCAGGCACTTTAGTCCACTGAGGTATCTGGCCAGCCCTATGCAGGGATTTATTAAGTAATACTTTTACTGCTGTATAAAGGGTATTCTTTGAGTTTTTTTTTTTTCCCTTACTGTGTGAATCCTTGACAATGAAGAATATCGTATCTTGTAGCATGAATGTATGGTATTGGCTTGCTTTGTGCTAAGGCATTAATGGTTCTGCTTTTCTTTCTTTCTTTCTTTCTTTCTTTTTTTTTTTTTTTGACAGAACCGGGGATTGAACTCAGGCCTTTGTGCTTGCCAGGGAAGCACTTACTCCACTGAGCCATCTCTCCGGTCCTAATGTTTCTGCTTTTAACAGTGTTGCTTTTGTATCTTTAGAGCAAATGTCAAAACAGTAGAAAAGTCAAATGATACCACACTATTACTGTTGAAATAGTTTTGACACTGAAGACTTTGTCAAAGGATCTAAAGGATCTTCAAGGCCCTAGAGAATGTATCTTAAAAAGCTCAACTTTAAGTTAGTGAATAGATAGAAATTTTTAAGTTATATTCTAAGTCAGAAAGTGCTTTCAGAGCTAAACTACTAAGGTTGAAAATCTAGCTACTCTTAATCAGTTATGTGACATGGAATAAGTTACCTAGTCTCTGTGTTCCTCAGTTTCTCTGTTAATAAAGTAATGTTGTTAAGAATTCTATCCAGTGAGTTGTTTTGAGGTTTAAATTAGTTAAAACCCATAGAACACTCTGAATAGCCTCTCACATGTAGTAAATATTTGATCCATGTGAGCTGCTGCTGCTGTTGTTGTAGGCCTGCCACTGAGGTCCGCCTGCTCAGATGTATTTGCTTGTTGCTCAGAAACCACAGGAAACAGTGCAAATGTAAAAAGTTGACTCCAGGAGGTGGAGAAACCTTGTGTTGTCTCAGATCACTATCCCACTGTGTTCAGGTATATGAGGGCCCCTTATAGAATGGAGAAAGGGGAGAGAGAATAGAATGACACAATAAACAACTGCATTTTTCTTTTGGTCTTTTTTGAGACAGGGTCTCACGATGTAGTTCAGGCTGACCTTGAGCTCACTTAGTAGCCCAGGCTGGTCTTGAATTTTCAGTGACCTGCCTGCATCAGCCTCCCCAATGCTGGGATTATGAGCATGCACCATTGTGCCTTGGTAATTTTTATTTTTATTAGCTTCTGTCTCTGTCTCAGTACTCTTCTCTCATTGCTGGGACAAATACCCAACACCCAAAATGAAGGAAGGAAGGTTTCAATCCATACTCGGCTGGCTCCAAAGCAGACCAGCACATGGTAGAGAGCAAACTTTTGTGGTGGTGGCAAAGAGCAGAGAGCAAAATGGAGAAGTAGCAGCAACAATGGCAACAGAAAGCGAGTCTGTCTCTCTGGCGCTCTTATGTTACATGTAGGCTATCCATCTCAGGCTGGGTGTAGCACTCACACCCGTAATCCCAGCAGTACTCAGACTCATAATCCCAGCCTTGGATCATTAAGTAATTACAAACTATAAAACTGTGCCTCAATGACTGCATGAGGCTTTGGAGAACAGATACACACAAACCATAACAGACTCTTTTAGGCTTCTTTTTTTTTCCTGAAAACTGGACTGTGATATCCTGGGGCTAGCATCTGCATGCACTGTCCATTCATCTTGGTTGAGGATAGAATGGTGTAGTGGTGTTTGTCCTCTGCTTCAAGTTGTTTGGTAAAGCAGTTTGTCTCTAAAAGAAAAAAAAAAAATAACTTTTTAAAGATTTTTGGTTGGGTGTGGTGGTACACACCCGTAATTTCTGTACTCAGGAGCCTGAGGCAGGAGGATCATTGCAAGTTTGAAACCAGCCTGGGCTACAAAGTGAGCTCAAGGCCAGTCTAAACTGCATAGTGAGACCCCCGTCTCAAAAAGACAAAAGAAAAAAAAATTTTTTTTAAAAATTTTTGCCCTGTTAGTACAAATTGCACTTCA